ATGTCAAATGTTCTCTGAAGTGTTTGCAGACGTGTCACAGCGTACTTTAACCACCTGGAGCCATTATTTTGACGCATCAACATCGGCTAACGCAGTTAGAGATTTGTCACGTTGTCAGCATCTGTGATATCATGTCACATGTTCTTTGGAGTGTTTGCAGACGACTTTAACTACGTAGGCGAAATATTTTTAAGTAGCGACAATAGTACCTGGACGCACCATTTTAACGCAGAAACAACGGCCATTTGCTCGTCACGATATCAGCAGATGTGATATCATTTCATATAGTCTTTGAAGCGTTTGCAGACGTGTTATAGCGTGCGTTAACCAGCGATACGCGTCATTTTTTTACAGCAACAACGGTAATGTCATTCAGTCATTTGTCACGATATCAGTAGCTGTGATATCATGTCACATGTTCTTTGAGTTGTTTGAGACGAGTTTAAGTACCAAGACAAAATATTTTCAAGCAGCGATAATACTACCAGCACGCGCCATTATTACGCAAAAACAACGGCCAGACCCTCGTCACGATATCAGTATCTGTGATATCATTTCGCATGATATTTGTAGTGTTCGCAGACGTGTTATAGCGTGCGTTAACAACCAAGACGTATCATGTTGAGGCACCGACAGCAGCAATAGCATTCAGACGTACGTGCCGGAATCTGCAGCTGTGATATCATGTCACATGTTCATTGAAGTATTTGCAGACGAAATATTTTCCCGCGGCGAAAATAATACCTGGACGCTTCCATTTTAACGCAGAAACAATAGACAGACCCTCGTCATGATATCAGCAGCTGTGATATCATTTCACATGATCTTGAAGCGTTTCCAGACGTATTATAGCGTGCTTTGACTACCTAGACGCATCATGATGTCGCAGGGACAACGGTAAAACCATTCAGGCGTACGTTACGATATCAGTAGTTGTGATTTCATATCACATGTTCTTTGAAGCATTTGCGGACGTGTTACAGCGTGCTTTAACCACCTAGATTAACTATGTTGATGCAGCAACAACGGCAAACACATTTGAACGTACGTCACGATATCAGCAGCTGTGATATCATGTCACATGTTCTTTGAAGTGTTTGCAGATGTGTCACAGTTCACGCTTCCTAGAAGTATCATTATGACGCAGAAACAACGGCAAACGCATTCAGAAATTTGTCACGCTGTTAGCATCTGTGATATCATGTCAATTTATTTGAAGTATTTACAGCTTCCTGAAAGTATCATTAAGACGCATCAACAACAGCAAACGCATTCAGAGATTTGTCACGCTGTTAGCATCTGTGATATCATGTCAATTTTTTGAAGTATTTAAAGTCGTGCTCTATCTTCCATTAACTACCTAGACGCATCATTTTGACGCAGCAACACCGGCAAACGCATTCAGAGATTCTTCTCGTTGTCAGAACATGTGATATTATGTCACATGTTCTTTAAGGTGTTTGCAAACTTGTTACGGCGTACATTAGCTACCTAAACGAATCTTTTTTACTCTGCGACACAGGCAAACGCATTCAGACGCATGTCACGATATCAGGAGCTGAAATCTCATGTGACATGTTCTGTAAAGTGACTGCAGACGTGTCACAGCGTCCTTTGACCACCTGGTAGCATCATTTTGCCGCAGCAACAACGGCAAACGCATTGAGAGATTCGTCACGTTGTCAGCATCTGTGATATCATCTCACATATTTTTTGAAGTATATTAAGTCGTGCTACCGCTTGCATTAACTGCCTGGAAGCTTGGTTCCTTTTTACGTAGCGACTACGGCAAGCGCATTCAGACGTACGTCAGCTGTAAAATAGTGTCACATATTCTCGAAAGTGTTTGCAGACGTGTTACAGCGTTCTTTAACTCCCTGAAAGCATCATGTTGACGCAGCAACAACGGCTAAAGCATTCAGCAATTCGTCACGTTGTCAGCATCTGTGATATCATGTCAACTTTTTTGAAGTATTTAATGTCGTGCTCTAGCGTTCATTAACTCCCTAGACGCATCATTTTGACGCAGCAACATCGGCAAACGCATTCATAGATTCTTCTCGTTGTCGGCATATGTATGTCATGTCACGTGTTCTC